CGTGAAAGTTGAAAAAGAAAAACAAATAAAATATTTGGATTTATCTCACGAGATTGTCGATATGTGGAATGTCGATTCAGTGATAATTGTTCCGATAGTCGTATCTGCTCACGGATTGATAGCCAAGAGCCTCGACCAACACCTTAAGAGGCTCACGTTGGACGGCTGGATCAAGGGTCTGATACAGAAGGCAGTCCTCCTTGACACGGCTCGTATAGTGAGGAGGTTCTTATCTTTGCAGTCCTAACCACTGGTGTCTTGGTACCTGTACCCGATGTCGGTGGTCTACTATTTTTTATATTTTTAAATGTATTTTTATTTCTTTTGTAATATATTTAAAAATGTAATTAATATGTATATATAATTTAATAAAGAGAATAATAATAGAAAAAGTAAAAAATAAAAAAAAAACACGCTTTCTATAGAAAACCAAACTAAAAAATAGAAAATAAATTTGAAAAAAAAACCTGGTGCTTTTTGTCAATAGTAAAAAGCACCCCACGCTTTTTTTCAAATTAATTTTCTATTTTTTAGTTTGGTTTTCTATAGAAAGCGTGTTTTTTAGTTTTTTAAAACTATAATTTTTTTCTTCATAGAAAAATATTCGTGGTTGTGTAACGAGCTTAGTTTACGCGATTTAGTTCTACATGTAACAAGATAAAAGATGTTGGAGATATTATTATTACAATAGGGAAGTTTCCTATGGGGTGTGGGGTCGGGAACCTCCGCGTGGTACACCCTAGACAACGAAGACGGGCAGCGGCCTCTCCCTGGGTGGGGGAGGCACTGCAGCCTACGGCCAATTCCGGCCGAGAAGGTTGGAGCAGCCTCTCGAGGCTTGCTCGGAGGCTTTCCGCGTGTCCGCTGTTTAGCGGAGGGCACAGTAGAGAGCAAGCGAGGGGGCGGACGGGTTCTCCACCGCTGGCATATTCCAGAGGTGGTGGACACTGGTCAGATGCAGACCACCGTCCGGCCAAGTCGTAAGCCTGACTGGAAACAATCAGGGATGACTAGGCTCTTCGAGGGCTACGAGGAGGACAACCTCTATAAAACACTAAGGGGCGGATGGACCCTATCTGGACGTAAACCTTTATAAAAAACCCCAAGCCAACGCTCTGACGCCTGGCAAGGAGCTGAGTAGCTGGAGGGATTCCAGTGCCGAGGCGTCATGTCGGAGGACATTAAACTCAACATTATGGCATGGGCAAGAAGAAAAAGGTGATACCTACCCAGGAGGGTTCCGGACGCACTGCGTCTGAGGAATCCCTCCCGGAGCCAAAGGGCTCCGGCAGCTACAGATCTTATTCTGGGGGGAGCAACCGGCGACCAAAACGCAGCGAAGGACACGCATAGGCCTGGGGCAGAGTTGGACTCTGACCTCCTCAAAGCGGTCGGCCCGCCCAGAAAGACAGGCAGACAAGCGGATCGGTGACATCAAAAAGGGCCGAGAGTGAGCTCCTGCTTAAGGCCCTTTTTGAGAAGGTCGCATCTGATAAGTCGACCACTCCACTCAGCTTGGAGAAGCTGCGCCGCAAGGTCGGGAACCCAGTGGAACGCATCAGAGAGGCAATTGGCGTGGCCGATGGATTAGTACAGCAGTCTCGAGGATCCCCATCACCGGGTGTCCGGTGTAAAAGCACACGGACGGGAACCCGGCTTCTCGAGGTCCCCGGCGCCTCCAGTGGCCCAAAGCCGACGCCCTAGCAGCTGAGCTGAGGGAGTCACTGGATGCAACTGACGTCCGAGTGTCCAGGCCTAATAAATAAGTAGCGCAGAAGTACGCATCACAGTCCTGGACGACTTAGTCACGGTGGACGAGCTTAGACTCGCCGTGGTGGAGGCTGGGAGCTGCTCCCTGAACTACGTGAAGGTCGGAGCAATACGTGAAGGCCCCCGAGGACAAGGGGCAGCGGTTGTCAGTTGCCCCATCGCAGCGGCCCAAAAAATCGCCGAGGGACGAAGCCTTCGGGTTGGAGGTTTCGTGAAGGCGCAAGCACGACTCCTGCAGGCCCGGCCGGCAAGGTGCTTCCGGTGCCTATCGGTAGTCATGTAGGGGTTCAGTGCACGGCAAAAGTCACCGTAGGCGGCGCCCGGTCATAAGGCGGCTTCTTGTAATGCTCCGCTGCGTTGCTTTAGGTGCGCAGCGGGGGGTCCCTCGGTCGGCTCGGTCCTCGTACCGGTCCGGGCCCAGATGAGGTACCTGGGTCTGGTCCTAGACGGTAGGTGGCTCTTCGACGAGCACTTCCGACAGCTTGGTCCGAAGTTGGTGGACACTGACTCCGCCCTAGGGCGACTTTTGCCCAACTTGGGCGGGGCCAGTGTTCCCACGAGGCGGCTGTACGCGGGGGTTGTCCGGTCCATGGCGCTGTATGGTGCACCGGTGTGGGTGGCGGCTCTGACCGCCCCGAATAGGGCGCGCCTCTGGCGCCCCCAGAGAATATTGGCGGTCAGAGCCATACGCGGATACCGCACGGTGTCCACCGAGGCGGCTTGCGCCTTGGCCGGAACACCCCCGTGGGATTTGGAGGCGGAAGTGCTCGCCGAAGTGTATCGGCGATTGGCTGACTTCCGGGCGGAGAGCGGATTTCGCCCTCCGCCCGAAGACGTGCGCGAGTGGCGCGAAGCCGCTCGCCGAGCCACCATGGTGAGATGGTAGTTCCGGCTGGAGACTCCACGCGCTGGCTTCGCCGCCGTGGAGGCCCTCCAGCCGGTCATCGCCGAGTGGGCAGGGCGGCAGCACGGGACCCTTACCTTCCGGCTGACGCAGGTGCTTTCCGGGCACGGTTGCTTCGGAAAGTACCTGTACTCGGTCGCTAGGAGGGAATCGAGTCCCGCCTGCCACCACTGCGACTGCACTGAGGACTCGGCCCAGCACACGCTGGCGGTCTGCCTCGCATGGGTTACGCAGCGCCGGGCCCTCACTGCAGTCATCGGACCAGATCTCTCGCTACCGGCCGTAATTCGCTCCATGGCCGGTAGCGACAGTTGTTTTACCGCGGTCGCAACCTTCTGCGAGGAGGTAATCTCGCAGAAGGAGGCGGCGGAGAAGGCCCGGGAGGACGACCTCCACTCGGACCCGATCCGCCGCCGGCGAACCGGGCGGCGGAGGCGCGCCTATCACCGCCTCATGCCGCCCTGAGTGTGGCCGCGGGTGGACGGGATGGGTTCTCCCCTCCACCCGCATTAGTTGGCCAGCCGCGAGGGGGCGGCGTCCGCGTGTGCTGGACGTCGCCTAAAGAGAGGAAAGTTTTGAGACGGAGCCCGCAACAGGAGCGGGCCGGCGCTGGGAGGGGTCCAGAAGGCGATAGCTACCTGGACCCCTCCTAAACTGCAAGCGCAAAGAGGGCACACCTCGTGGTTTTAGTCGGTTCGAGTCCGACACACCGCCCCGTCGAACGAGAGCCCCGACGGGGTGACGGTCCGAGGAGATTTCCACACGTAAAAAAAAAAAGGTGTGCAGCGGGGGGTAAACCTGCCGACCACTGGGTTGGCAGTAAGGCCTGCGCCGGGTCTGGACTGGAGCCGGGGATCGGCCTTCTGCCCCTAAGTTGTCAACGAAGACAGAGGGTGTAGAAGATCCTGAGTCCTGAGTCAACATCTATTTATCTATTTGCGAATACCTGTGAATAGCTTTGTTGTTACTCTACTCTAATGTTTTACCATGCGGTATTTGTGCAGTTGGTATTCCGAACAAAATAAAATAAATAAAACATCGGGGTTCCCACACAGGAGGGGGTCATCTAGAATCCGTAGATGGCCCGAGGTACGTCGGGGTTCCTGGGATTTCCTTTCTAGGGTACACCTGATTCCCCGGCTACTAGTACCCGAGACGGCGTGCGGTTTTTGGTCGGTTCGAGTCCGACATAGCCATCCTACTGGTGGGTGGTGTACGCGGGGATTTCCGCACGGAAAAAAAGGGTAGTTTCCTATGATAAAACAAATATAAGACTGTAAAAACAGTATACGTTACTGTTTTCAAATTTCTTATTACTTTTAATTGTCAAACTTATGCAATTATGACGTCATAATCCGTTGTTACACACACATTTTTTATAGACCGTTATGACTTGTAAAAAATTGATTTCATTTGATAGTTTAACCCGTTGATCGCCTCAAGTCGCAAACAAAATTTGTAATGAGACGCCAGAGCCATCACCAGAAATAGCTGTAGTCACTAGTGATGTGACATGTTAAAAAAAAACTGGTACTGGTATTTTTGACAAATTTCGTCTGTTTTCGACTTATTAGAAGCTTTGTTGATGTAGTAAGAAACTTAAAAAAAAAAAAAAAAACAATTTTGATTATATATGCCTCTATAAATATTGATGTTATAACAATAGAAAATTAAATCATTACCATATTTTCCCGTAACTAAACGACGCTTTAAAGCGTCGATGGCATTGGAGGGGGCAAATTTGTGACAAAAACTTGAATTAGACAGTGATGTTGATCTACGCTCGGGATTGGTCCTCTCCCCATCCCGTTCAGCGTTCTCTTTCTGGAGCATTATAGCTTCGCAGAAAGAGACCACTGTTCCCCAGCTCTCCTCACCCGCTAGCATGGCAGCTATAATTGTTGGTGGGGACAGGTCTCGATTGAGCTTCGCTCAGCAGCGGGAGGAGACCGATACACGCTTGGCCCATATTGGCTGCATCATCGCATCACCGCACAGTAGAGACGCGGACCTCCTAAATTAGGCAACAGCCTCTGTAGGGAGATTTCGGGTTCGATCATCCGCTCGAAATGCTCCTCGAAGCTCCAGTGGCTTTCCAGGTTGAGGCCGAGGTATTTGGCCAAGGCCGATAAGCCGGTCGACCTCGACCTCTGTTCCTCGCACTCTAATACTCCCACTCTGATTTCGAGCGGAAGCGCATTCCAAAGAACGGACTGAACGAAAAAGGATGAGCCAACAAACAAATTATCTATGTTTCATTACCACTTTTGTCTATTTAATTGTTGAAATAAATTATATAATTGAGTATTCTTTTTTTTTTTTGCAGGTATGGAGGCCATTATGTCAGAATTCTTTAATGATACGACGACAGCATTCTACATTATCCTGATAGTATGGATAGCCGATCAGTACGATGCAATTTGCTGCCACACTGCAATCGCCAAAAGACATTGGTTAAGGTAAGTGCCATTACTAACATCTCATAGATTTGTTTGCAGGTTTACTTTCATAGACAGGGGTTCTTCGTGATTCGGTTTACGCCGATAAAATATGACACAATATGTATGACAAGATTATTAAGAATCATTGTTTCTAACTTTTAAATTAGGAGTTTTATATCCTTCTAGTTGAATGGTGCGTATAGATTTGAATTGGTCGACATTAAAGACGAAATGTGCAAAAAGTTAAAAAATCTTAAAAGATCATAGCCAAAATGAAATACTTTATCTTATTACATACTTGAATATATACTTGTACCTTCTTGATAATAAGACGGAAACGCCAAGTTTTTCATTGATAAAATCTGCTATTTATCTTATAATAATATATTCATTTTCACATAGTCATTTTTGATTGAATTTTTATTTCTTCAAAGCTTTGTTAATTAATTAATCATTAATTAATTCCAAATAAATTATCTCTAATTAATTGCCACATTCATCACACAATACTTTTATATGATATAATAATAATAATAATCCACGTTCATCGGGGATGAGGTTATATATTCCACGAAAATGTGGTGGTCGTGGTTTTCTAAATGCCAAGACCCTCCACAATCGTGAGATATGTAACCTTAGGAATTACTTCCTGTCTGTTGATGTGGATATGCATAGGGATGTAGTAGCAGTTGATAACGGACTCACTCCGCTTGGTCTAGGTAAAGAGAACTGGCGCAAATTTGCAGTACTCAACATTACTGATCGTAAGGAGATATGGAAGGGCAAAGAGCTGCATGGACGTTTTTATCGAGCCTTGAACAGGCCTGAGGTGGATCAACTAGCGTCTGTATTCTGGCTTCGATTCGGTGACCTCTTCGGGGAAACTGAAGGTTTTGTCTTTGCAATTACTGATGAAGTTGTTATGACGAATAATTATCGGAAGTATATCCTGAAGGACGGCACAATAGACATTTGTCGGGCATGTCATTGTCCTGGTGAAAGCCTTAGACATATAATTTCCAGTTGTTCTCGTCTTGCCAACGGCGAGTACTTGCATAGACATAACCAAGTGGCCAGGATTGTCCATCAGCAACTTGCTCTTAAGTATAACCTTGTGACTGTAGAGTTACCGTACTACAAATATGTGCCTGACCCAGTTCTTGAAAATGGTCGTGCAACGTTGTACTGGGATCGCCCTATTATCACTGACAGGACTATAGTTGCCAATAAACCTGATATAGTGGTAATAGACCGATTGGAGCGCCGAGCAATGATTGTTGACATTACTATTCCACATGACGACAATCTCTTGAAAGCTGAAAAAGATAAACAAGTGAAGTATTTGGATTTAGCCCACGAGATTGTCGACATGTGGGATGTTGATTCGGCAATCGTTGTACCGATAGTCATATCGGCCCATGGATTAGTTGCTAAGAGCCTCGACCAACATTTTCAGAGGCTCGCGTTAGGCAGTTGGATTAAGGGTCTGATGCAGAAAGCAGTTCTTCTCGATACGGCACGTATTGTGAGGAAGTTTCTGTCTCTGGAGTCCTAACCACCGATATCTTGGTCTCTGTACCCGATACCGATGGGATACTATTTTTTATATTTTTAAATGTATTTTATTTTTTGTTTTTGTATATAAATATATTTAAAAATGTAATTTATATGTATAAAGAATGAAATAAAGAAATAATAATGATATATACTTTTAAACGGACCTAATTATGAGGAACACATCATTATTATTATTTTTCATTTGACAGGAAAATCAACTAAAACAGATTACACCTTTTTTCAAAAATAAAAATTTTGTTTCTTGTCTTTTTAAATTTTGTGATGTTAGTAATGTGTGTTTGTGAAAATTACCCAATAGCATAAAACTTAAATTCACTAAGAATTTACTAAAAGCGCATCCAGTGTCCATTGGAGTAAGCATAATTATATTAGACGTCCACATTTCACATTGGTTCAAACATGTCAAGCCAAAAAGGATCTGCCAGGGTGTCGAACGATTGCATTATTTGTTATCCTTTTAAAAAAAAATATGTAGGAATTATTCAACTTAATGACCGTCGATCCTAATTTAAAACTGTAAATGCGAAAGGGCGTTTGTTTGTTACGCATTCACTTTTAGACTATTGAACCGATCATCACAAGGTTTTTTATAATCGCGGCTATAGATAAAGTAAAGAACATAGAGTACCTTACTTCCAAAAAAAATACATTTCCCGAGGGTAAGAAACAGTATTTTTATGCAATCGGAGTCTCGGTCAAATGTTTTTTTGACTTGTTTAGATTAAGCGAAAAAGGTTTTTTCAATCTAAACACTTAGTAATATTTTACTAAATCTAAGAAACCATCTATTAACATATAGGTTCATTATTTGCCTAACATGGTATGTAGGTACATAATTACAAACAGCCACTTTGTGCAAGCAGTTTAACTACGTTAAAGTAGAAAAGGTATAATGTTAATAACAGCCGCAATAATTGTTTGTTTATATGTTCTGTGAATGTTTGTCGTGTGCTCATTATTTTTATGTGACATTTTGCATGTTTGTGTACAAATATCGTATCGTACACGAGTGGCTCTTTCAGGTCTGTTATTTACTTATTATACGATTGATGCCTAACGAGTTCCATTTAAATTGCTTTTAGATGACATATTTCCGAGTTATAGCATGTAGCAGGCTTTCTTTATAGTCTTGTTCTTAGATATATATTCTATTCTAATACCTTTAAACGAGCAATTATGGTGATGTGTGTTATCTTGACCTGAATGCAGACATCCTCAATAAACTAGACCGACTTCTCAATAACAGCATTCGATTTATTTTTAATCTTCGCAAGTATGACCATGTGTCTGCTTTACATTCCCAACTGAAATGGCTCCCGATTCGTCAACGCCACAGTCTGCGTTCACGAACATTTTTTTTCTTTTCTTAATTCCCCATCGGTACCTGAGTACCTGGTTCCCCATCTCCGCGAAATCTTCGGTCAACAAATAATATGCTTTTTCTTTGCCCCCCTCACACTTCCAACTTCATCAATTCTTCCTTCTATGTACAGTCAGTTATTCTCTGGAATGCGCTCCCAGTTGAAATCAGGATGTCCACTAACCGTTTTACGTTCAAGTAGAATGTACAAGATCTTCTTCAAAATAAGTTGGCAGAAAGGTCACAACGCTAATACCCGACTATGTATTTTGATATTTATGTATTTATAAATGTGTATGTTCATATATTGTATGTGTATACTTGAGACCTCTATGTGTATATGTAGTAATGAATATAGTATTTTATTTATAGTATATAGTGTATATATGTAAGTTCGATTTATCTTAAATTAATAAATTTAATATTAAAAAGTCAAATTCTCTGTTTTCTCGTGCACCTACAGCATCATTTTTCTACATCACCCGAAGGTCGACTGGCAGAGAATGCCTTGTGCATTAAGTTAAATAAATAAATATTTTTTATCTATATATATTTATATATATACATATATCGCAAACGGTTCCAAACATTTTCATGAAATTTAGTATGCAGGGTTTTCAGGGGCGATTAATCGATATAGCTAGGTTTCATTTTTAGTAAATTTTCCAAAAAAAAAATACCGAGCAAAGCTCCGTCATCCAGGTACCATATTAATATATAAATAAGCTAATTTTTTGGGTTATATACTGACTCGGAGACTTGAAAGTCGTTTAAGTAGTTTCGTTTAAAGTCTTACATAAATAATGATTCAATCCATAAGAAAATCTTGCATGACATAATGGTGAGTAATTCTTTATCAGGAAAATTATAAAAAATCTGTTATTTTTGTATACATAGTTTCAAACGTTTCCTAAAATATAAATGTTATATATCACAGAGTTGCAAAAAAAAAAGGTTTTCACACATTACTTAGATTTTATGTTGTAATATAAATTTTATCTGTTAACAAATATAATTTTATTACTAATAGTTAACTATTTATGTATATACAACCACAATGCTGTTTATTCAGGCACTTTGTTTTTACGCCTACTTCTGTCGCGCGTGTTCCTCCTTAATCAAAAGGCGTCCGGGCACGAAGCAATTTGGCTGGTGGTCCGCGCGGGCAATAAGGACTGGGCGCTATTAAAACAAGCGCAAATAAAGCAAATTGAAAACGGCTCCGGTTCACCCCCCTCGAAGAGGAGAGAATGTACCCCGCGATCCTCGTTCGCCCCGCAAAAACAACGGCACTGTCGTCTGTGAGACCTCTTGCTTCATCTAACAGTAACTGTCATGTAGTATATTACGTGCTCGCTGTCGATATATTTCTTGGGAACGATACGTATGCGATACGACGGGATTATTTCTGACTGAAATATGCCATTTGTTGTCATTGTTTCAAAACTCGTTCTGTAATCCTTTGCAATTCCTTTTACTGTCGTCGTGATATTCACTCAACAATTCAGTGAATATGATTCCAATACATATATTCCCTAACGATATATTCTACGGATAGTCTTTGTGTGTAATTAATTTGATTGCGCGGATGGCATAGTGGTTTAGGCGGTCGCCACGCCGCTCACTACTACCCTGAGTGTTGTGGATCCGATCCCCACATGGGACGACACTTTGTCTGCACACAAATTGTTGTTTTGTGTCTGGGTGTTCTGTGTGTTCGTGTCATGTATGCTTGTGAATGCCCTGCGACACAGGATATTTTCCTAATGAGGGCAGTTGTATTGTAAAAAAAGAATTACAGTTTTAAAATATATTTGTTTTCTCTTATGTACCGTCTAAGTACTAAGGCGTTCGCAACAAAGCACGTTGCTCCTATGTGTATCTTATTTGATCTGTGATGTAATAAAAGTACTAAAACAATAAATTTTTGTCGATAAACGTATTTTTTGATGATATAAATACTTACGTTGTGTAAGGTATTATTATCTTTAATTTTTATTTTTAAAGTGCCTCGTGAACTTTTGGTGATGGCCAAGATACTACGATTACGAGTGGCTATGAGTTTGTTTGCCCTTTCTTC